TCTCTCTCTCTCTCTCTCTCTCTCTCTCTCTCTCTCTCTCTCTCTCTCTCTCTCTCTCTCTCTCTCTCGGCGTTTTCTCCCTCGCCATGGACCTTGCCGAGATCGCTGCTGCCACGTGTTTTCTCGTAACATTTGCGCCCTCTCGTCGTTTAAAGTACAGTACAATAGACGGCCCTGCTTAACTTGCCAAGAAATTTCACGGCACCTTAACGCACACCGGCACTTAATAGGGACCTCTTGCTGCAGGCATGGTACCTACAGTTAATTAGATCGCGTGACCCCCGCACCTTTCTCCTCTCCACTTCGATGTCCTTCATCTTCCCGAACAGGTCGCCGAGCTTCGCGCTAACCCCTTTCCACACCCTCGCCTGCTGGGTCACCGCCACACGGTAGTTCATGTCCGCCAGCCAGATATCCGATCCCGCAACGTCTAGGCGGAGGGCATACGAAAAACACAACACAAGCGTAGCGCTTGAACCAGATTTTACCAGCCGAAGCCCTGGGCGTGGGGCGCGAACCCACCTTCAATCGGCTGAATTAAGGGGGTCTCCGCGCTGCCTCATTTACTGTTTTTCGCCCGGAGAACGTTGGCCACAGCATAAATGCATCTCAGGTGGCACGGATCCCTTTCTTCAAGGGGAACGGTCCTTGTTAGGGAACCAACAGCGCTCACGTAGGAGGCACAACTTCAGTGACGAGGAGGAACGGCGGAGGATATATCGGCAGGTAGGGCCTCCCTCAACCTTCGGCAAGGCGCATCATCGCCCCGGTGGTCTCGTGGTATCATCGTAATCCGCTAGTCGCAGAGGTCGTGAGTTCGAATCCCCATGGGGTGAAGAATTTACGAAACGTGCGGGTGAAAGCGAAATACAGCTGACAAGCTCTCGTGAGTACCAAACTTCGAGGTTAGCACCGTTGACGAGGGAAAGGGACGGCTGGACCCTTCTCGCGATAAAAAAAAAAATCAGCACGCAGGAGGAAGGTGGGGCACGAAAAGGAATAAAAAGAAGAAAAAAGCCCTGGTGTTTACCCCCTCCTGTGTGACCCTGGATGGTTGTAGTTGTACGAAAAAAAACACTGACAAGTGTAGTGTAGTACTCTACATACGCTGAGAAGGGTAGTACACCTCTCACCACGAAAAATGGGGGGACTGTCGCCATAATTAATAGGACGAAAACACATACACACTCTCTGAGACAATCGAGGGAGGAGGTAGTGAAACAGACAACTAGGTCAACGCCTAATGCACTTACCCCTCAAAGTCAGCGGTGCGGTCGCGCGTGCAGGAGACGCTTCTCTTTCGAGACTCGCCGTCACAATCTCTTGGTAACTGCGGAAGAGGCGTCATCGTGCGGCACGCCATTGGGGAGTGCAGGCGAGGAAAGGAGGAGGCGCAGAAGCGTACTTCGGTCTGAGAAGCACTGCGTAGCGTTGAGCACACAGATTCAATCTCGTCCAGAAGCCAGTCGGAACACAGAGCAACAGCAGTGATGTTTAAAACCATTGACAATAAGGACAATCTTGTCGTCGGTGAAGTCGACCCAGGTATTTCGGGCGCAGGACCACGGCGACTCGATATTACACACACAACCTTGTGCGTGCCAACCAAACCTTCAAGAATGCAGGGGGCTTCGTGGCACCACCGCCCCACCCCACCACGCCCACACGCCTCCTACAACACCCCGCGTCGTACACAGGAAGGCCCACCCACCCCCTCCTCTGCACCAAACGCAATCCCATCCCATCCCTCCTGCTGTCCCGATCCACCCACCGCCCGTAGGCCTTGACGGAGTTCATCTCTGCCGAGTGCATCAGGCGAAGGCACGCCGTGCCCTGGCCCACCATCTCGGCGAAGCGTTCGTCCAGCTTCTTGACCATCGCGTTCAGCTGGTTGTCGATCACCGTAACGTGCGCCTCTTGGCACATGTCGATCGTTCTGCACGTGCGTTCCGACAGCGCAGCACACCGGAACGTGTGCAGTACCAGGTCGGGATGGCGTCGTAAGGCTATCAGGATGGTGGTCTCGAAACGAGGCAAACTTCGCTCGACGGCAGTAGCGCGACACAAAACAAGAGGAGCCCTGTTCATTTTGTCGGCTTGAATTTCGTTAGAACTCGCGCGCGTGAGCTCTCCTCTCTTTCAGTCATCTGAAGTGTGAGGGTCAGCCGACATCGTGTGGCACGAGCTCAAGCGAAAAGTTGGTAGGGACAGTCCTTCCCTAAAAACACTCAAAACGCACCACAGCAGGTGGCGAGACCAATGGTGGGACGTGTGCGACTGGCCGCGTCCGAAATTGAGCCCAAGGAAATGTATAGGCCACACTCCACTGGCAAAAATAAAAAGTGATAACGAATTTACTCAAGAACGTTACCAGTAGAGCAACACCCAACACCCCTCCGTGAAAACAGCAGAAATTCCAACAAATAACGAACACGGGGGGAGGCAAGGGAAAAGGTGACAAGCACGGATCAAGAGGGGGGGG